TCTTTGAGTCTACATTTTTACTTGTTTTTCTCAACTTCATCCTGTAACCTTTCTGTTCTAATATTCTGTAACGCAGTGGTAGCCATAGATGTCCGATGACGCCAACGTCTACATAGACCATTCATACCAAATATTAATGCGTTTCTGTCTTGGACCCCCATTAAACCCTTGTATCTAACACTGCGCTCTTCATTCCTTCATCCACAATTATGATATCTATCTTGCTTATATCATCGCCTCTTTCCCAAGTATACATGTGAATCCTTTTGTGGCGAAAGAACGTGTTCGTCACAAAAAGATTCTTTTCCACACATACGGTGAGGAGGCTCCCACCATTCCCATTTATACTTTTATGACCAAACGTTCCCAATATCCTTTCATAACTATGCATCTTCACCCTAACTCTTCTATTAAAATCCCCTTGCATAACAATATTTTCATTTCCATTACATTTCATTAACACCACCCTTACCATTTCCCAAAACTGCTCTCGGATATAAGTGTACTTAGACATATCTGGAGCGTAGACCCCTAGCAAAAATAACTTCTTTAAGCCCACTTTCACTCGTATTTATAGCAGTCTCGGGCTAACATATTCATACTCTTTCACACATTGGCCCATTCTTTCTGAAAAGATGATCCCCACTCCTTGGTATGCCCACTCAGTCTCCTCTACACCAGACCAGTATGCGGTATATATGCCATGTATAATGACATCCTTTCCTTTCGGTTTTGTCTTATTTACACATGACACATCTTTTCCTCTATCACACATTATATTGCTTTCATCATATTATCATTCATTGCTCCACATACATTCAGCATAGCCAGATGGGCTTCTACCATTCGTTAGTCGTTCCATTTTTCGTCCCTCCGGGAGACAGAACGTGGCCGGTGGTCAACCTCGTCACTGGTTTTCCTCCCGTAGATTCTTCCCACCCCTTCCCCATTAAAAGGGCGCCTGGAACACAGGGCTACTTCTCTGGTGCCTCATGATGAGAAAGTGGTATGTTTTACGCTGCTACCACAGATCTAATAGCGGAGTTCGGCGTTTAATACTGAATATTTAAAGTATTCTATATAAATATGAAGGATATTTTTTTAGTTGCTATCTTGAAATATTAGATGGAAAATTTACTTGCTTTGAAATTAATTTGAGGCGTTGGCTTAAACGATGGGAGATAAGCTTCTGCGGATAAAGTAACAGCAAATAAAACGGCTCAAATAAGGGGGAGCACATACTTTAGGGAAAGCAGCGAGCGGCCTCTCTCTTGGCAGCCATGCGAGCACGATAAAATTCATCTGCACTGCACAAGCTTGTCCAATAAGTTATGACGTGAAAGAACATGGAGTTTATCATTGTCTATCTCTAAAGCGGGTAAATGCATCAAACGCATAATATTTAAAAAAAGTTAAAGTTTTGGTTAAAGTTAGTGGCCGAGGGGTTACTGGAAAGCATACGGCATAATGGGCGGCTATTCATAACGCACTCGATCTGTGCGAGTACAGTGCTTAATTGTTCAAAAGATAAAATTTGATCTCCGATCACGCGATATAAATGACTCTTTAGACTTTTAATATTGGTCTCCCAACTTCCCCCAAAATGACTTACGGAGGATTTTTAAGCGACCACTTGATGTAGTTTTCAGCTAAAACGTGTGACAACTCCGAATTATAATATTTAAAAGTTAAAAGCCCGTATGACTCTGATAAAATACGTTTTGCTTTAACATAGTTCGTACTATTATCTGAGTACAATCTACCTGTGGGACCGAGGCGAGAAAGAAATCTTTTAAATGCACTCATGAATCCGTCCGTGCTTAGATTAACGGCGAGCTCTATTAGGCGATTTGTCATATACGAAAATACAAACTTATGCCTTCGTGGACCTTACAGCACGTTTACGAGCAAGCATATCCTTAAACGGGCCATCAAAATCTAAAACAGTGTGCATAAAGGTCTTTGCGAATTATGTTACACGACAGGACCTATGGTCCACTATTTCTGGGAACTTACTAGGATAACAAGAGACATCTGTGCACCCGATTGCGTATTAACCCTTCAATTCCCATAAAATTCCCACGCTGTCGCATGCATCCGTCAAATCCTGAGCGGTCGCGTGAGACCGTACCCACCCACAGCAATTTAAACCATTAAAATTTATGTTTAGAGAGTATTTTTCTATGAAGAAGTTTGGCATTACAAAATATATACAAAATTCTCTATCCTGTCTAAACAAAAGTCAGGTTTTACTTCATTATAAAAAGACTATTGTATTTTGCTAAGAAAAAATCGGTACTATTAAAAAATCACTATTATATTTCTATATACACTCGACATTATTTACATAACAGATAAATTATATTCACACAAAAACTTTCATAAATTTTTTATAATAAGACACCATAATAAAACACTAATAAAATACTAGAAAAATCCAAAAATCAACACAACAACATCCAAATTAAAATGGCGTACGTGATGAACGTAGATGATAAATAAACTTTCATAGACTAACTCACTTTTTACTGCACAAGAGGATAGAAAATTTCATATTGATTCTATAATGCCAAACTTCTTCATAAAAAAGTAGTCTCTAAATAAAAGTTTTTTGGTTTAAAGAGCTGTGGGTTTGCGCGGTCGAATCTGACCGCTTCGAATTTGACGGAACATCGCCTTGGTCGGATCCGATCACTTGGGGTTTGAGAGAAAAGGAGAACTGAAATAATCCAGTAATTCTGACGCAAAATAGATATCAACAATTCCGGGTCAACGTGACAATTCAATTTGTGGTGATAATTCACTAATAAATTCAAAATATGATCCTTATGTGGTAAAAGAATATGGTGTTGAGCGAAACTTAAATGGGAGTTAGGTAAACAACCGGCAACTCTAATAATTCAATTCCGTAAAAATGGTTTTAGGCGTTGAAAAGTGCGACTAAAACCTTGCATGATTGCAACCTTGCAATCTCTTCGGAAAAGTGTAAACGTTGAAGTTCATGAAATATTAATAATTCTGCATAGTCATAATCGGTTGCAGTAATATGATGACGTAGCGGCAAAAGCTTTACAAATCGGTAAACTTAAATTACGCTAGGCAATAATTTTGACCAGGAAGAGAAACGAGTTACTAAAATAATGATTGGAGAAACTTCACTCGAAGTACTCCCAACCAAAGAGTATTTCTTTTCTTCCGTGGGTTGTAATATTGAGGAAGGGTTTAAGTCAGTTGGCGATTGCGACGGTTCTAACTGAATCCAAAAAGGTCCTTGAAACCAAAGTTGGTGATCTATCATTTGCACCGGAGTAAGTCCACGCGACAAACAATCGATCGGATTTTCTGCACCGGGCACATAATAGAAATTTTGCGATACTAACTCGTTTTGGATCTTGGCCACTCGATTTGTGACGAAAGTATTCCAACGATGAGGTGAAGAATGAACCCAACATAAAGCGACTGTTGAGTTGGAAAAGCCAAAAATTTTATCGATATGAATTCACCTATATGTGTGTACACTAACAACAGCTGTGATAAGCGTGTCAAGAACAAAAATTGCGCAAAGCTCGAGACGTGCGGGAGACACAACCTTACGAGAAGAAACCTTTGATTTAGAGCAGAGGTTCACAGAATTCTCATCATCATTCTGAACGTAGAAATATATAACGCTCCCGTAAGCTTCCTCTCTATCATCAACAAAACCAATGACCGTGACGACGCTATCGTTACTGATATTTGCATGACGTGGTATTCCTCCCTAAAGCGTAGCCACGAACAAACAATTTTATCAGATGGTGTGTTATCCCGATCACATTCATACGACCAAATTTGTTTAATCAAAAGCTTAGCGCACAATATCACAGCTACTACAAATCTCATGACATCCTAAAATCTAGCAACACATGATAATATCGTGCGCCTTGTCGTTTTTACATTAAGACTAAACACAACTGACTTAGGCAACCAACACAAACCGAGCACATGTGCTAATCAGAATCGTCAAATTTCTTTACAACCGAAAGATTTGACATTCGGATTGTATTCAAAATAATACACGAATTACTCGTCCACTTGATGTGTTCGAATTGACCTGCTTTCATGAGCTTTATAATTTTGGTGGTGGTTGTACAGATTACTCTCAATTGCCTCACTAGCTTTAAAGTAAGAGGAACCTTCGTCAGCAGCGAGCTGTTTTACAGTGTGCAGCGCATGAAATTGACTTGAATTTAAACGAAAGCAAAGGCGGTTAAATTTAAACACCCTTACAGGCTACTTTGAGTAAAAGCGGTATAAAATGCACTGGAATCGATGGTCGTATTCACGAACGATTATAAGACGACGAAACGATTTATGCGTAAACAAGTCAAGTAAATGTAAGCGATATAATACGACTACGGGTGAATGCAGACGGCGGCTGTTTGTAGCGTGCACTAATCAAATCAAATCAAGTATTTATGCGGGAATACACTAGTATGTAAAATTCGTATAAAATATTATGAATTGCGGTGCGATATAAGTAAACATCTACTGTGGGAACGAACTAAATAAAATGGACTCTAATTTATAATAATGAGAACGTGGCTACTAAATAGAAAGATAAAACTATTGCGTTTTTGCGATAGAATCAAACAATATGGCGCACAGTACCCCTAGTGGTGCGAAGCTAAAATAAAATCAACTTAGGCGAAACTTAGGTGCGAATAAAACAAAGTATATTGTCCAAATTTCAGTTCAGCAATTCAACTTGTTTGAGACATAGGCTGCTGATTCAAATTCGGGTCGACTGGACCAAAACTATGGGTGTGCGAAAAGTGATTGATAGAAAGGCTGATAGCCCTCGAGCTGGATATGAGACGTCTGGGGGACAAGGTCGCTAAAAGGTGGTTGAAACAGATAATCCAACGCTTGAAAACGTCGCACATGATGGGTTTAATGGAGATGAAAATAAAGCGCTGTCCTGGGATGACATACAAAAGGCCAGTAACGCGGTACAGCCTGGAATGTTTGGCAAACAAGCGATGGCAACCCACGTGGCGGAACGGAATCTGATACTGGAGCGTCTCCGTGACCTGCACGAATCCCTAGCGTCCCGGCCTCCAGAGAACGAATTCACAGAGAATCCAGTAGCACTAAAGACGCAGCTGATGCCTCACCAGTTGCATGCACTCGCCTGGCTGCGTTGGAGGGAGACGCAGTTGGTGGAATACTAGAGGACGACATAGGTCTAGGTAAAACTATCACGATGATATCGCTGATAACAACCGACGAGGAAAGCAACATAGATGATGATGAAGACGAGTACGACGATAATTTTGGATATAACAGTTCCAAATTGATCCGCGGCGGCACGCTGGTAGTATGCCCCGCGTCGCTGATGCAGCAGTGGGCAGGAAAGGTAGCGCAGCACTGCCGGTCACACGCCGTGTCCGTGTTCCAGCACCACGGCGCCGCCAGGGCGCAGCAGCCACAGCCTCGCCACCTACGACCTCGTGCTCACCACCTACAACATCCTGCTGCGCGAGACCGAGTAGGGTGATGCGTATGCCGCGTGCGCGACGATAGATATGGGGGGCTGTTAGATGGTCTTGCAGCCGCTCGCGCTTGGCTGGCGGCTGTCACTTCCAATGCCAACTCTAGCGACCTCCACTCAGCGGCCCTTTGCGCGCTCTTTCTTTGTCCATCATTCATAAATTGGGCGTCAATTAAAGGGAGCCTAGGCCTGACACCGTCTCATTGTGCGGTAATGTGCACAGACGGAGCTTTGCACCTTCAATTCTGGTGAGGCACGACACTCCCACCTCTTGGCAAGGCACTGACTGACTGCATCAACGTAGCAGTTTTGTTACATAACTGTTACGTCAGTTGGAGATGGGGACGTCACTTCCCCACACCATTTAATATTTTTATATATTATTATTATTATATAATTATTCACTAGTTACAGCAATATTTGGGACATTTTAGAGTTGCCCTGACACTGAAATTTTACGCCATCGATTTTCGATAAAAAAATTTTGTTTGTAAATTTGAAAAAATTTAAGTGGTTTTAGGCAAATCGTGAATATTTACTGGTGGTATTTAATATCAGAACTACTTTACTTACGTGTCTTGTAATTTATACACAATTTGAATGCACAAATCAACATTTTTGTTTTTTTCTGGAGAGCGATTTGTGTACTCGCAGCACGGTCGCAATTAGTACGAAGTGGGGTGTTACTGTTACGTTACCAACCAACAATGGTACGGTATTTTGTCCCCTTTATCGACCGCAATTATCTAGACATGTACAATCAAAGGATAGTACCTACTTCCAATAAAATGTTTATTTGCTATGTACGAGTATTATATACTCGATAACGAGTCTCAAGGGAGAGCTCACATTGAGAAGCTTACTTACGGGTATACTAAATTTTTAAGGTATATTAATTGCCAATGTATGTTAATGCAAAAACTATTTAAATAATTAAATACACGGACATTTTCGTGTCTATATTGTTGCGCGCCTAAGTTGACGTCATGTACCCGGCACTAGCGCCATCTAGTGTCGGAAACGAGAGCGAGGAGAGCTTTCCAGAAAATGACATGACTAATCTTTTAACCAAAAGCGCCATCTAGTATCGAATTGAAGAACTAAGTTTTCTAGAAGCCTCACACTCGAACTTTCTGCGTCTGGTCGGTCGGCGCACGTATCTACGGGAATATTCTGGATGTTTCGGTGAAAATGCTTATTTAAAGGCGCTGCAATACGCAATCGGGGCAGTATTGAATTTGGCGAGACAAGTGAAGCTTCGGAGCGAAATAAAGTGAATCAGTGTGATTAATTATTAGTGTCTTTTAAGTTTTAATTAGTGTAAAGTGAATTAAAGTGTTAATTTTGGTAATTTATCGGCAATTTTTTGTTGTCAAACCTAAGCTCGTAAAAGTATGTTTATGGGATATTTATATAAATTGGTAATGCTTGAGAATCCCTTTGTGTGAAATAGCAGCTCAGTGCTGCTGTGTTTCATATGGCGAGTCTAGAGAACCGAAGAACTCCTTTTACTGATAACGAGTCATTCCATCTTAGGGGTGATAGCGCACCTGGATTTGGATTCTTAGTCGTTGATAAAAGTAGATATATACGAGTATGGACTGCAGCGTTCACTTATCATCAAGTTGGCCACCGGTTTTTTTTTTAATTTGAGTTGTTATAAGTTGCTGATACCCAATTCCTGTTTCAGTTTCCCTCTGTCTCTACTTTTACAATACCTACGAGATATTATAGTGTAGTGGATTTTCTCACTCAAAAAGAGAATTTATTCCTATATTTATTATGTATTGTACACAGATGTCTCCGACATTTTCGCATCGGTCGCCATTCTGTCAATGTAAGTAAAAAGCCACAAAAAAAATTAAATTTAATAATTATTTTTTTTTTATTACCTCTAACTGACACGCGCATCAGTTATCGGGCTCTTTGAGCTACTTTTACTCGTCAGCCAATGCAGACGTAATAAAACCACATACAATTTCTAAATATTCTTTTTTTTATTTTATTATGATCGAATTTTCTGAAGCAAAGTTATTTCTATACGTTTGAATACTGAATCTGATAACGTACTTAACCCCCACCACAGGGGGACCACAAGGTTCTTATTACATGTTGTATAATAATAATAATAATAAACCTAAAATGAATAAAAAATGTTTGAAGCTGTCCCCTTCTTGTTTCATTTTGTTTAGGTTTGTTACTAAACGTCATAAATTTAATATGTCTGACAAACCAGCTTAGAATATGCGAGCTATTATTGTTAACTGTTTTTCTGCTATTGATTTAAGGGAAGGCGAGTTCGAAGCGAGTGTCCCACTAGATAGTTCGTTTGCCGTTTTTATTTAAGTTATATACAATAGATATTTCCAAGGACTTGCACTTTTTGTTGATTATACGGAACTTGTAATCACCAAAGGTAACAAAAGCCTTTATAAAAAACTTTCTCAAGGCGCCATCGATCTTATAAATGGCTAAATTGATTATTTCCAAAGTTTTAAGGCTAAAATTTTAAGTTAGGCATCTCAAAACACCTGTAAATCTTTAAGGTGATTAACTAGCAAAAACTGTTTTTTGTATTATGGGAAGGAAACTATTTTCTGTCTAGGAGTCCGTCTCAATAGTAAACGTATTACCTTTTTCTGCAGCAAAACGATAGTGTGTGAACTGATATGTTTCGGTCTGAAATGTATGAATTGCCTTTATAATTCCAAGCTGAGAGGCAATCCATATTTACCTGCGCGGTGGCAATGATATTAGCCATTTTTGTTCAACTTTTACGAAGTTTCAATTTTATGAAAATACGAGTCGCAGTTCCTGTACTAGAAAATAATAGGTTGGGGAAAAAGTTTCTTCGAATGTTGTTTGTACAAAATTGAAGAAAAATGTCTTTGGTTTTACTGTTTATATTTGGCTAGTTGTAGTAGTAGGTTGGTGGTAAGTAGATGCCATTTTTGAAAAAGTGGAGCAATATCAGTATATTTGTAGCTATGACATAGCAGAGGAATAGAGAATTGATCGAAAAACAGTTTTGATCCATTTGAAAAAGTCTGGCTACACAAAAAAGTTCGATATTTGGTTTGGCTCACTGAAAGAAACCTAATGCATCGTGAACTCATTTGCGATTCTCTATTGAAACGTAATGAAACAAAACCATTTTTGAAAAGATTGATCACTTGTGTTAAAAATTTAATCACCTACAACAAGAACGTATGAAAAGATCACGGTCAAATGGTAGTCATGTCCACAGACTCTAGTGAAACCCGGATTAACACGCAATATGGTGATGCTGTGTTTATGATGGGAATAGAAGGGCATCGTTGGTTATGAGCTTTTACCGCCGGGAAAACTATCGATTTGGATGTCTACTGCCAAGAACTAATGACCAGAGAGACCACATACATTTCTGGCTACTCAGCAAAATTGAGAGAGCTTGGTTGGGAAGTGTTAATTCATTCACCACATAGTCCTGTCCATGCACCGTCGTATTTTCACCTATTTCGGTCTCTTTAGAATTCTCTAGGTAGTGTTAACATCAAGAGAGGACTGTCTAAACTACCTGGCGCATTTTTTTAAATCAAAAATTCCAAGATTTCTACAGCAACGGGATTATACCACAACCACTATATATTAAAAAATGTAATTTAACTTTGAAAATAAATGTCTCGAATTTGTGTATTAAATACGAATAAACTTTTGCCTGACTTAATAAAAACTGCGGTTGCCAACCAACCACCGTGGCGAAAATTGCAGGAGACGATCTATGATAAGAGTCTCTCAGAATCCACTGCTAAACGTAGGTCACGACTCTGAGAGGCTGATGAATGTAAAATTGTACGTCTTTTTTTCCACATTTTTATCATAGTTATTTCTAGTAGATTTCAGTGAATATTGTCCTGTTCTTATCCATGTATAAGACAAATTGATGTTTGTTTTACCCTTCAATCCAAATGAAATGATGCAAATGTTTACTTAGGCCTTTCATTCAATTAGGTAAATATTGTTGTATTTAATCAAGTTCATTTATAAGCAATACCAAAAAGCAGTGGAAACCTAAGATTAGGAGTCTTCTATTTTAGTTCAATATGCAGAAACGTTTCGATTCTCACTGGGATGACACGTGCACAGCCTTAAAGAAAAACATCGTTTATAAATTGAATACGTTTTAGAAATGGAATTCAGCATTTCAGTTATAACAGTTAAATCAAATTAAACTGGAAAAAAATTAATATATTCAGAACCAAGAAATCAATATATAGCAACGCAATCATACAACAACAGACAGATCAAAATGCATATTGCAATCCTACCAACGCAAGTGATTTCTGACATCCTTGTTATAAATTCCAGAGTAGGTATAAGGAAACGTTTGCGATTACATTAAACTATGATCATGCCTTATTTTAACATAACTTGTATAATATGTTATTATATGAAGGCAAGTAAAATATGTGTATGTTATAAAGATAGTTTTAAATATTATTATTTTGTACAAAAAATTAGACAGTTACATCGTGAATAGTTACAGTACTTTTACATACATCGGAAATTACATTAGCTTTTCAAAAATTTAAGCTTGCTAGAAATATGATTTTTATAATATCCTATACAGAAAATAATTTAAAATATAACTATAAGAGTTATCATGTTTATATAAGCAGAACATTAATCTATTTTAATATTGAAATGAACAATTTTATTTCATAAGGATTTATTGTACTAACAGTAAGTTTCATTCGGGGAAAGAAAAAAATAAAACTTGTAATAGTATTGAATTTCTTATAACCCTTTTCAAAATTATATACATTTAAATAAATTTTACTTCAGAATAAAAACAACGAAACTACTAAATATTAAAAATTGATTAATGATAAACCGTGGCAAATTTGAGTACGTAAACATGTAGGTAATCAGTCAAATTATTTTATTATTTCTTTGCAGGACACAGTAATGAAAAGGAAATAAAACAATGAATGAATAAGAAAGGATATAAAATCGTCTTGTGTTTA